GGCGTCCGTATATATTTCATTCTTGTGGTCTTTAAGTTTTATACACCGAATACAGGTACCTCTGCGGCTCACCGTGTCTCTTGCAGCCATTGTGCTCTATTGCTCTGGTTTAGAAAGCTAACCAATTTTACGCACACTCTTATATCTTGTATACGCGCTGAAGGCGCCAGACAGAGCGCGATTTGTGCCGGAAGAAAAAAAAAACCCTCCCATTTTAATGATGGCGTGGTTCCCATTGAAACGCCCAAGCAAAAAGACAAAATGGTGGACAGAAGTCCTAGAAGGCTTGGCGTGTCCAATTCCCCTTTGGGCCGTGAGGAGAGGACGGATCATTTCAGGTCGTCTTGCGAAAAGACTTCAAAGTCGGCTTGAAAACAAGCACATACAATTATTGCGGGGAAGTTATTGGCCCTAAATATACGCCGAATGATTATCTATTCGATGAGGTAGTTAGCCGGCGCGGGAGCTGCAGAAACAGCGCCCTTGGACGATCGCCATGGGAAAGGCTTCAACTTGCTGCAATTCTCTACATGTGTGTGAAAAGTTCCCCCCAGGGGGAGGGGGTACTCCCTCATTATAGGTATGTGCGGCGCGAAAGGGTATCATGGTTTTTTAGCCGTTTTGGACTGAAATAGGGTATCATTTTTTACCATTTTGGTCTTAAATAGAGTATGGTGTATGCACTCTAGTCTTGAATTGGATATGTGTCTTAGAAGAAGCTACTTCTTTATCATTAGGCGATAAGACCATTTTCCTTTTAATATTTGCACCAACCGTGTACGTGCCGTAACAACTTGTCACCCGCTGATAGATTTAAGTGTCAGGTCTGAAATAGGGTAGGGAGAAATAAAACTGAAACTTAATTTGCTTTAAGATTTTTAAGTAACAGAAAATTATTGTAATATAACAGTATTTAGACTACCCTTAACTGATCCCAGTATAAACGTATAGAACGACAATAATATTTTTTTGGAATTTCTACCATTTTTTGCTAAGTACAGCGGATAAAACGAAAGAAAAAAAATTGAAACAGAAAAGTAGAAAGGAAAAACAAACCTCCATGGATAAAATCAAAAATATTTCTCCGTACAATTGTTCGCATGTCACGTTAGAGAGGTTAAGCATCATGTTTACGTGTAATTGCAATTTGGTACTAGGTGACCAAAATTCCCCTTTACTTGTCCTTTACTGTTCATTGTTTCTACACTTAAATTAGTAGTTTCACGCAATTTTATCCATAGGAATTGTTCTGAGCTGTTTTTCTATTTTTTGAGAAATTCTCAACTTGAAACTGACTTTTGTCGTTTCCCTTAGGCGTGATGCTTAATTGTTAAATTACCGAGGGGGAGGGGGATATATCGCCCATAAGCTCTGCGTCTACGAGCCGCGATTCAGGGTATACTATTTTTAGATTTTGCTCTCATAATCGTAAACAAGGTATCCAACTCTCGTATTTTCGTGGTTTGTCAAAAACCGAGTATAAAAATTACTTGTTTCTGCGAATTTAATGCCTGAAGTTTGAGATAAGACTCATAAAATTTTAAATTTTTCATGAATTTCTGTCGTGAACAAGGGCATGCAGCGTTTGAGAAATTGGGCACAAACGCGTGTTCTTATACCTGCATATCGGACAACTCGACGCTTCAACATCCCTCTTCTCCGGGCAATCCCATGGGCATTTGACTTTTTACAAACAAATACGCAAAATGTATGAGTCACGTACAATTGTCTGCAACTAACAGTGTTTGAGTCACTTTTAAGTTACATTTAAAAATGGTCAATGCAACTTAACTTCTCCTATGAGAGAGAAAGAGAGGAAAAAAAAGTTTCTCCGTTACAGACTTTGTTTTAATTTTTCAAATTACACCCTCCCCTAGCCAAAAAGCCGATCAAATGTCCCACCATGGGGACATTATAAAAAAGAAAACAAACAAAAAAAAAAGCTTACCAAGTTTCACACGCACATGCGGGATGAAAGAAGGACAGCAGAAACGCCTTCAGTTGTCCCAGGACAAACTTTAAATGCGAACTAAAAATACGAATTAATACGACGAAACTCTCGTGCAAAATATAGGAAATTACAGAAACACGCCACACTGAATGCACAGCTTTTCCTCATGTCATGCAGCATATGAGCTTTCTAAACAGTTCACCTACTTTAATTACTGCGTTCCATACATTCATGGCCTTTTAGACCTTTTCACCGACATATCAATTAAATCATCGCACGGTATCGATTTTATTGTTAACACAACATCTCCATGTATTCAAAGCAAGAACCATAAAAATAAATAAATAAATAAATATACCTTCAAATACAGCTGAAAGGTTAAGTTGTGTGCACCTTTTGCTACGGAGCTAATTGGCCACGAAAAAAAGAAATATTCCCCTATGCGTGGGGATCGATTTCCCCATCCCCCGGAAAACTCTGATCATCAAATTCCCTTCCCCTGGGACGGCAAAGGTGCCAAGTGCCCAGGAGTTGAATGATGAAGCTTCGATTTGACCGATAAATTGGATAATATCAAACGTTTCAAAGAGCCCAAATACTAAAATTTGCAGACTGTTTGTGCTACGCTACAAAAACGTTTCTTGCACGATACACAACATGTACACTATAACACTGGGATGCGCTGTATCTAATCTTTTTAAAACTGAGTAATATACGTGATCTATGCAATGTCCATACCAAGAAGAAATCCAAGCTTTTCCCCTAATTTTAGAACATTCTTTCTGAGACGAAAATTCAATTATCAACATGTCACGGTGCGCTCTTGCCCTTCCCAGGCAATGGCGATGGAAAAGGAGAGATGGTATGGTTTGAAAACATCTCGCCTTGCACTTTGGACTTCTTTATACCATTTTCGCATGCCTTCATCCTCACGTTATTGTCGTCATTAGTAAAAATAAAATAAAATAAAATCTAGAAGGAATTTTTCATTTAGTTACAAGACGTTTTAAATTGCTACCTAGTTTAACGGAGGTCCTACCTTTTCTTCTTTTCCTGCGCAACGTTTTCGTGTCGAATACAGAGTTTGCGGGTGTGAATGGAAGACAGACGACGCCTAAAAAGCTATCAGCAGATGCTTTTAAAACTTCTAAAATCACTGACCAATCAGTGACCTCATCCTTGGCATTTGTCTGCCCGTGCCTCTGTCAGGTCATTTTTTGTTCGACATAATTTTATGTACACGACGAAAAATACGAGTAGCATGATATTTACGACCTCTATGAGAAACGTCATAAATATCATTGGCCAATAGCAAGCGCTGTTATATACCAGGATACAACCCGCTGAAATACAAACAATTGCATTTTGGACCTTCAAAGAGAAATAAGTATTGGCAATGCTTCGCGTCACTCTCATTCTGCCGTTTCTTTCATTTACCCCATGAGATCACACGCTGTTTGTAAACGAACATTAGAGGAACATTTGAAACAAGAGAATGATGGCGTGCGTTTCTGTAACGCAGAGAAAGATTTGCGGAAAGTGAATTCAACGTTTTTGATGCATTCTGAGTTGAGTAGTCGTTGAATTCTTGCAGATTTCAGGTATGTAATAATTTTTTCAGCTTTTGAAAAATTTACTCCGAAATGCTAGATGAAATTTGCTTCTCTTTTTATTCAAACAAAATCCATATGGACCATATGCGCGATACTTTGGTTCATATGCACGGCTTTTGAAAATCTGTGAAGTGTGTAATTTCGGTGCCATTACTGGTTCACTGTGCGAGCGAACTGACTGTTGGTTTCGTTTAATTTGGAATTGTTCGTTTTGCAAGGACGAAGGAGTTGCAACTTTTATTTCTTCTTAAATCCAAAATCCGTAGATTACCCTGTGGAGGATGAGCTATTAAATCAGACTTATCTTTGTTGTTGTTTGTGCCACATTTAGAGGTCATTTCCGGTGCTCGTTGTAATTGTTTTGTCAGTGAATGTGATGACAATTTCCTACTCTGCTTTGTCACGCGTTCTTGCAAGGTGGTGAATTCTCGCGGGTAGCGATCTACATATCCGAATTTACACGTTATAAAAAGGCCTAAACGACTTTTACCTCATGATGTAAAATGCTGTTTGCTCGATAATTTTCTTTAGCTTCCTAGTGGGTGGATTATGCTATAGATCAAATTTTATTTTTGCGGCTGGTCTCACGTTTTGAGGTCATGAGGCTGACCTGTTTCAGGCATATTGATTAAGTATTTCTTGTCATTTTTGTTTTGTACAGGATTTATCTCTGGTGCGATACAGTTTAAGCATTTTCTTTGGCTTCGGTTTGAGGATCACGACGTTTATATGATGAATTTGTCCTGGAGAGAATTCGCTCCACTCTTTCAGTGTGCAAGAGTGTATGCTAAATAAAATGCTATCTTTCCTTGGAGTGATTTCGTATTACTTCATCTTGTTTCGACCGATAGCCGCATTATAAGTGGTCGCAATCAAAAAAATTGTTTCACTTCTGCTTATCTCTAATAGCTTTAGGCCAATTTTGGTTTTGTTCTCAACCAATCACAACGCACGTTACCTTTATCCAGAGATGGATATCTCCCGGACTGTCAATCAATCAATCAATCAATCTTTTATTTGTATTACATCTATATATTATTTCCTGCATGGGAAAGTTAAACGAAATAATAAAAGATAAATCATGTACGCCAAGTAACCCTAAAAAAATATCCATGCACTGCCCTAAGAGAAAATCCACGAGGCTCAAGAATTCCCCAACCCCCATAACTTTTCTCATGTTCCGCCTCATAGGTTAACTGCCGCAAGAAGGAAAGAAGCAGATGTTTCAAGTAATATTTTTTATTTTAAGCTCAACATCAGGAATTTAATCTCATATTAAAAGTATTTTAGCCGATTACAGTGGAACTACGTTGTTAAATCCCTCCATTAGTCTATTTCTATCTTCCATTCTTTTTTTGGTTTATTTCTTTCCTTCGTTCTGTTTTGTTCCGTTGTATTGCTTCTGGCATAATTTGCACAACTTGGTAGAAGAGATGTTAACGTAATCTGTTCGTTAGAAAGCTGTCCATGAACGATCCCTTTGTTGAAGGTCGGCATTTATTGCCTCCGAAACTGAATTGCAAGTTAAATTGAGCCGATACGCTACTTACACTTGTGCATTCGATAACACCAAATGCACGGTCCTGCATTATGCCATTGCAGCCTGCCACTTTCGGATTCCCCGCCACTTCTCCAACAGGGTTCTTAGCATAGAAGAAGATAGACTCGCTGGTACTGGGATCACATATTGCTCTCCAGAAAAATTGTGGGACCTCGACGCGTTGTCTGAGACGTATATTAACGCCACCAGCTGGAAAAAAGCAAGAAAGAAAGGATAAGAAAAAAACAAAACATAAAAAGTTAAAAAAAAAAACATGTTTTTGTTATTCAATATCAGACCAAAACAGGCTTATTGTTGTTAGAGGTGCTGTTGTTTTGTCGTGATCCTCGTCGTCGTCGTCGATTTTGTTACGTTGTTTTCATATATTTATTTATTTAATTATTTATTTAATAAGGTAACTTTGAGCATGACCCAAAACTAACGTGTGAATTCTCTCAAAATCTGTTGTAAACTTTTGTTGCACGTTAACAGCTACTTACCTACACCAGTGAAGACGTATACCCCTTGGAACTGTTGGGATTTTGTAGCAACATACGCTCTTACAGCAGCTTCCAGTTGACCCCAGTTTCTAAGATTGAACAACTGCCACTGGGGGGCGACGTTGGTCATTATAAACGTAAGAGCTCGATCTTCAAGTGGACCGAAATCCCCGTTGGGTACCAAATGTCCTCTAGAAAGGAACTGCTGCTTTTTTACTTCGAAATTGTTGAATAACTGAGATTGGAAGCTTGTCCTGTAGTAAGCTGGTTTGGCTTGAGGGTTTGGGGCTAGTAACAACACAAAAATATATTAATTTTGCTTCTAAATTGACAAGCTGACGTTTCGATTCCTTATGTAGCCAGGGATATGTCACGCAACAATGATCTCTATACTTTTACTGTTTTTTCTACCAAAATTTTAGGCCATAAAAGTTGGATAAAAGATATGCTTATTATATGGTTTGGTGTGGAGTATCGACCTCTGATCATTCTTGTCTCGTTGTTTTTGATTTGACCAAAAGCTAAATAATACAGCATAACTTGCAGAAATAATCATCGACCAATAATATGATAGTACATGTGGGGGATTTTGTAACGCCGACATTATGGTCGAGATTTGCTGGAAAATTCAACTCTTATGCACACAGAGAAAAAAAAACATTAAATGACACCCTTGCAAACATCATGTCGCTATTATGGGCAAGATAAATCTTTGTTGTCAGTTGTTACAGTATATTCAAGCCAATTTTTCACTCTTCCTCCAAGCGAGATTGGTTATTATTGTTCTGTACATTTGTGATGTGCATGTGGTGCCCACTGATGGGAAAACGGGGAGTAGCCATGCATGTTTTGGAGACAACTGCATTTCAATATGGAGATACACGCTGGATAAAAAAGAGTTTTCCCTAAATTGCAGAGTGTACACTTTATCTGTAACTGGGCCTCAAAATAAAGAAAAAATGGTAACATAAAAACTGTCTTTATTCGTCTGTTTGGAAACAACATCCCAACTGATGATGATGATGATGATGATGATGATGATGATGGTAATCACCGGCGCCCGCTACGCACGTTATTATTAGAAGGGACCACGGCCTCTTCACACGTTGCCTCGAAAATAGAATCGACAATATTTGCCCTAAACCACATTAAATTGATCGTTTACTGAGTAGGCTTATTACTTTTATCTGGCAAAAAGTGGCAGTCTTCAACCGATTTTAGAAGTTATTTTAGCTGGATTCGACCTTCTCTTAAACTCTTTTGGGGTTATTCAAAATTTTCCCATGCCCTCCCTTGTCAGTTCCATTAAGCGGAGGAAAACGAATCATATATTCATACAAGTGACTCTGTTCTGTCTCGAAAAGTTAGCAAACAGTTTTGCAGAAGAGCATCTTTTGCAATCTCCAAGGTATCAAATGTTACTTACAGCACACACACAGTACTGTAAATTACTACGAAAACTGTGGATCTGGGGCTTTTACCGTAGCCAAAAACTAAAGTGGAAAACAGCCAACAGGAGTTCGTATCTCCTAGAATTTTGGCAGGTGCTCCTTTAATCACTTGCCTACACGTTCTGAAGATTTCTCTGAATTATATTTTGCAGTAAACGGCTTATCGTGCACTTTCGAACGTTAACGTTCTTTTAATCGTTTTACGTACAATGTGTCTCTACTTACTGTTCAAGGAAGCCTTTAAGTGAGTAGCTAAGCAGCCAACTGTAAACTGTTCTTTTGTTGTTGTTGTTTCTCCTATCTAATCAACCTCATTATCCATAAAATGTTTCAAGCACTTGACAATACTTCTTACCAAAAGGTCCTAAGTCCATTTTAAAGGATCTGGATCCACGGCCGCCACCAGCAAAGTTTTTTACGATATGACCTGTGAAGTCTGGGGTAAGAGTGTTTGTGTTGTAACAGACAGCAAATAAAGTTGGATCTTGTGGATTATTACGATAGCACAGTCCAGCCCCTCCACACTGGACGGTATTGGAAATAATTCCTTGGTCAGCCCAATCTTTAAAAAGACAACCATTTATGTCATTGTCAAAAGCGTCCTGGGGCCTTGGTCCTGCGATATGAAACGCATTTAAACTTTCAGAATATAGAAGCAGAATTTAAACGTTAAACTAGGAAATAGAATGGTAAGCAAAAAAACAACAACAACAACAAAATAAGTAAATAGATAAACAAATAAATGAATAGCAAGAAGAAGAAGAAGAAATTGTGAACTATTATTCTGTAAGAACAATAGATATGTATAATAAATATTATCTTAAATCTAAGGTCCAAGCTGTGTAAAGACAAATACTTTCCATTAACAATTTAAGTGTTAAATGTTAAGTAGCTTATAATTATACTAGCAGACGGAGGTGAATAAATAAATAAATAAATAAATAAAGTACTAAAAGAAAAACAAAATCTATAATATACAAAGGTATTTTTTTGACACAGACACCTCCAACCCTTTGCTTTTGTCTACGTCCACCTCGTCCGTCTCCACGTCCACGTCCACCACGCCCACGCCCACGTCCTCGTCCACGTCCACGTCCTCGTCCACGCCCACGTCCTCGTCCTCGTCGCTGTCTACGTCTACGACCGCGTTCACGTCCACGCCCGCGTCCACGTCCACGCCCACGCACACGGCTTCGTCCACGTCCGCGTCTAAGTCCCTTTCCACGTCTAGGTCTTTTCCCCTGTCCTAGTCCACGTCTCGCTCCACGATTAGATCCACGTCTTCGTCCACGGCCACGCCTTTTTCCTCGTCCCCTTCCGGGCCCACGACCACGTAGACGTCTGCGCGCACCACCTGGACGTCCACGTCCAGGTCGTTGTCGAGCTCGTCTAGGAGGTTGAAACTGTGGTCGGCTAACTTTTGCTCCTTGAGGATCTTTAAATTAAGTCGGATAAAATATTAAAACAAAAATGGTCATGTTTGGTGCTCACTTTTCGAGTTTATCACAGACTTAACAAATAATATCGTTGATGGCGTCTGGGATGCTAGATGACATTTTTTGTACATTAAACTAAATCCACTCGGCACTATTACCTCCTCGTAACTACTACCAACCGTATTCCCGACAGGGCTGAGAAGAGGAGAGTTGGTAGCTAGAGAGTAAGTTGACTGTCCTATCAGTGACTGTCTGATTTTGGGGGAAAAATATAAACTTGGGGTTGATTATAAAGTTGGCGGCGTCCCCACATTTTTCCAAACTTACCTTTAGCGCCTACATCATTGATTGTATCTCCTAACAATATAAACAACGCATGACTTAGTTAGAGTGCATGTAGCTATTTCAAAAAAGTGTCTTAAGGCTTTAAGACGAAAATGAAAATGCCCATGGTGATATTACGTTTGAGTAGAAGGACAGCCCCTCGTGTTGTTCAGCTAATAATTGGCAAGGGAAGGAACAATCGGTACATTTTATCAATTTGCATGTCATGCTAACGAAGTGGGCGAAATATTATTACAAACAAACCTTTCTCCGAGCAGCTGTTTCTGCGCAAGTATTAAATAAGGCTTGCAAAGTATACCGCGGGAGATACTGACATCGTTTACGAAATATATGCCAGCGTTCTCTGGTGATCGATCGTAAGCTCCATTGTAAGAATGTATGGACAACCATGTCGTCCTTAATCCATTTCGTTCAATTTTTTAAATAAAATAAATTCGATTTTTCTGGAAATGAATTCTAGAGGACTGTTTCTAAGTTTGAAATAAGTAAATTGTGGTCTTCTGTTCACTCCCCCAATAAAACTTGAAAACTGAGGAGATTCATGCCTTGCCAGGGTCAGTAGGAAAATAATGTAATGTAAGATTTTTAACGCTGTCAAGACTCTTATGAATAGCGCAATAAAGAAAACAAAGCTCCATTTAATTTACCTGTGTTCTCTAACTCAGAATCAATCTCCACTGAAGAAAAAAGAAAAAAAGTTGGGTGATCATTCCCGTCCGTTGAGATACCAATATAGCTTCCATACAATAGATCGTGTAGAAGGCTCCTCCCTAGCTCACCCTGCTCTTTGTTGCCCCCATATGGCCATCTGATTACTTTCATGAAGCGCTGCGGCTACGCAGGCTACACTGGCGATGGCCTTATTGCAGTACACGTTAGGAAACATCAGCGATTAATATATAGAGACCTCCAATGACCAGTAATCGCGCTTGTTGTGGCAAACATACTTGAGTTTGTTTTGTTTTTGTTTTTTGTTTTCCTTTTTGACTCTAGACCAGCTGGTTCCGCTTCCAATTATAGTACCTTATTAGAACAAAAGGAAAGTTATCACAAACTCAACAAGAAGAGCTTTTAACCAAACCTCTAGAACAATTACATTAAACGTCAATTGATGTCATTTTTCTTGTTTTTAGTAGTGTAATAACTGCTGTCAATAAATTTACTGACTTTTACCATTTTCATCGAGATTATTATTCACAACTTTGTCTCCAGCATACTCTGAAAAATAACAACAACTCCATTTTCAGCGAATTAATAAACAAATGAACAGGTAAAAAAGAACGAAGAAAACTTACGCATTTTCTCAAGAAAAGGGTACAAATTTCGCAGAAAACGGCGAGCAAAAACTTGTTTACCATGGTTGTCTATGCTAATGTACACGTCATATGATGTTCCGAGATAATTTGGGGAAAAAAGTTACCTATTTTGGTAGTCAAAGCTTGAACCATACTCAATAATCTAATCGATATTATTTCTATTGTCAAGGTGTTCCTTTCATGGGCCTTTGTGTAAAAAAGTCTTGTTTTTAACAATTTCTGTGAGGTTTTAAGTTTGTTAGTGAGACGGTCAATGATATTATACAATATAATACTAGAAGTATAGCAAAAGTATAGTTTCACATTTGACTGCATGATTATTGGAAATATACACGGAAGGACTAATTCACTTTTAAGAAATCTCCCTTCGAGTGATGATTATATCAGAAACTTAACAGTGAAATGAGAATTTCACGTCAGACACCCCTGGATTTCAGCACCCACGAATGCTTTGTTCCGCCGTGCGTGTCAACTTTTTTCGACAAGATTCCATTCTAAAAAATGTTGAACAATTGCAGTCGTTAGAGTCGCTATATTGTCCATTGCCCCGGTCATATTGGTCAGTATTTCATTATCAGTGAATGATATGGTGAAAAATTCTATTTTTATGCTGTTTCATAATATTTTTTACTGTGGCCGCGGACCCAAGAACACATAAGGAGTGTATAATTTACATTTTTTTTTCAATAGGCAGATTAAGTAAAAGATTATCAAACCGAATTTGGAGTAAGAAATTTTTTCCCATCGTTCCGTTAGTTCGAGTTTTACATCTGCGCCACTAGATCTTTATTATATTGCATATGATTAGTTTATCCATTCTTCCAGCTGATACCCTACCTGTATCAGTTTTCCAAGGAATTGGTACCTCATCATTTTTATCAAGCGTACGTTCTATACAGGAAAAAAAAGTGACAGACCTGGTATTTTTTTGTAGCTACCAGCCAGTTGGTTAAGATGAAAAGGTTACGCCCTTTAATTTTATTTCATCTCCAGCTTTGAATAAGTTTGAAAAGTAAATAATTCAATGATTGGACTGTTAATTGAAAATTGAGTATACTAATTCACATTTGACTTAAGGGGTGGGGGTAAAAAGCATTAAAAGTAATGAACAGGAAATGATGTCATAAGTAAGTCGGATATGATCGTCTGAGTGAATAGGATTGTTGTTGTATACAGTGAGTGACGTTTCGACAGCCTGTGCGGTAGTCATCTTCAGAGTCAAAGTGAGTTATATCACGTCAGTTGATGGTATTAAACTCTGGTTATTGACCTGTTTGGTCAATTTTAATTCACTTATCAATTAAATAACTTGGCGTTAAAAAGTCGCCATGTTATTGGTCGTATGTCAGTTAAGCCGTAATGTTATTGGCTATGAAGAATCGTAATGTCATTGGTGCGTTTTGATCCGTCTATTGTCACAGTTAAACAGTCGTTTATTGTTAGTCAAATTGTCAGTTGTCCAGTCGTTCTCTCGTAGTTAGTTTTGCTCGATTCCGCCAATAAGTCTTTTGTACGGTGCCGGTAATTGTTGACTACGATCCAGTGGCGTTTATTCCAACTTAGTAAACCATTTTTCTGATGTGAGTCGTTGATAGTAGTCTGTACAATACGTGATGCTTGTCGCAGAGTCTCAGTTGATTTGATGTTTTGTCTGTAAATGCTGTTCAGCAATGTGATTGTTGACGTCACCATTTGTAGTCGTTCGTTTGTTTCGGGTCGGTCGCGTGCTAACGTTTCTGCCGGTTTCACCAATGTAAGTGGTGACGTCTATGATCCTTTATTGGTAATATGAGGGCGGAAAAAAAGACACCCTTACTACTGTTCACTCATTCTTTTCTATTGCTATTTCTGTCAATATTGAAAGGTTTGGTAATCGACTCTGCTTGCTTTACTTTAACTCACATTCCCAATTTCCCAATGTTTTACCATGATAAAGTATGTTCAAAATTCCTGCTCCTCGTTTTTTTTTTTTTTTTTTTTTTTGGGGGGGGGGGGATGGGGGGCTTCATAAGAATTCGAGAGCTTTGTTTTCCACTTTCATTTGCGTTCAATCAGTCACACGGAGTTTACAATTTAATAGTAATCAAATCCCTCGATCTTGCTCTGTAGATGACTTGAAATAAGTTTTTTTTTTTTTGTAGTACGCATTAAGATAGCACTCATCGCGTTTTGCTGTTTCGACCTTAAATAAAGAAAGCATTGAATTTTCTTAAAACTAAAGCAAACAGTATAGGACAGCTTTCAGCGCTCTCCGGAACCTAGCTCTCTTCTAAATTAAATTATGTTCCACTTACTTTCTTTGAGTGCAAGTGAAGCTGCATATACATAGAAAAATAAACAGAACAAAATAATAAGTCAACAGGTATTCTCCATAACTTGAAATTTATCAATCGATATTAAAATTTATACTTTGGCTTCCACTAACAGCTGCAAGCAGTAAAACTACCATGAGCTGCATTTTAAAGCTCATGGCTGCAAGTGATCATAAGATTTTAGGGATAA